TGGGACTGTCTACTCAGGAAAGTGTACCTGGGAAATATGTAAATATTATCCGAGCATTATACGCGCGTAGCTCACGCAAAGTGAGGGCTTATGGCAAGTTGTCGTCACCCTTTAATATCTCCAGCGGTGGGAAACAAGGATGCCCGTTGTCGCCTTTCCTCTTCAACTTCGCTATTGAGTAAGTCATAGAGATCGCGTTCACAAGACACGGCTTAAGTGTGGAGCTACTCTCTTAAATTGGAGTATGCTGACGATATTGCCCTAATTTGTGACAGCTCGCAGACGTGCCAAGCGGCACTGGACAGATTAGCACTAGCTGTCAGCCGCTTCGGCCTTTGCTTTACACTATCGAAGTGTAAAGCTTTTCTCCAAGATGGACATGGATGGCGTCCTGCTCTGACCCTTCGTGGGGATCAGCTAGAACTCGTTCAGAAATTCAACTACCTGGGAAGTTGCATCAGCGCCCGTGAGATTGAAGATGAGATCACGAACTGTATAGCAAGAGCTCGAGGCGTTTTTGCTAACCTTCGCCACCTATGGCGCAGGCGCGACATCACTTTCGCCCTGAAAGGTAGAGTGTACAATGCAGCGGTACGTTCGATCTTACTGTACGGTTGTGAAACCCGGTCCCTTAGATCAGCGGACATAAAGAGGCTAGTTACGTTCGACCACCGATGTCTTCGCAATTACCTCACATCTGGTGGAAATACCGTGTGAGCAATCAGCGTGTTCGACGCTCTGTTTTACGGCACAGGAACTGAACCGCTCAGCACTGTTATTTCACGCACCAGGCTCCGATGGCTCGGCCACGTGTTACGCATGCCAGCCCACCGGCTCCCGCGACTTGCGTTGTTTGCGCGCCGGGGGTGTGGGTGGAAGAAGAGGAGGGGTGGCCAAAGGATGACTTGGTCGAGAGGAATGAAGGCCCTCACTTCTGAGCTGGCCTCGGTTGGAGCGCCACGGCTCCCTGGTTGGGGTCCAAAAGACGATGAACACGTTTGGCTGGATACACTTGCTGATATGGCTAGGAGCCGACGTCAGTGGTGCTTCTGCTGTGAGTTTCTTTGTCCCACCCCATCCCTCTTAGCTTCCCCTCCAACCGCGATCTCACCATTTAACATTTTATACTTTTACATTGGAAATTACTTTGTTTGCTTCATAGTAGCCGGCAGACAGCTTACCGAAACGATGCCCATCCGTTACCGGTAGCTCAGCTGGCTTGCACTTGCAGCATTTTATTCCCTTCTTTTCTTTTATGTATTGCGGCACAATAGCTGAGGTGTTTCCCACATATAACTAACATGTATAGTGTGTGTGTGTGTGTGCTTCTGTCCTTTCCGGTGTTCTCCGCTTGATATCTCTTGAATTACGCTTAGATGTACCCAACTCACCGCTACACTAGATCTGACTAAATAGACGTTCTTTTGTAATTTGCTGTTTTGTCTTTCTTCTTCACAAGAAATCTCCAGTTTGCGTGTTTATTTTTTTCAAATTCTGTGTATGTTGCTTTATATCCCCCGCCTTACTGCGCTTGATGTAATGTTGACGAGACGCCTGTGTGTTGAGAAGCTGCTTCCTCTCATATACTGGTTCCAGGATACAGCTGGTCATTGCTAGTGGCGACGGGGTGCACGGTCCTCCTGACCATAATAGACTCATAGAGTTTTTTCATGCATCCACTGCGTAACGCATTAGGACCCAGTTACCTCCTTGTGTTCGTCTAGTTCGCATGACCCCCTAATTAGGCAAGAATGCTGCTGCTGTGCACGTGATAGGGGTGTGGATTGGCTATGTTGATTAAACGTGGCTCCCATCCACATGCCTCCTAGTCCTATTTTTTCAGGTTTACATTGGACATGTGTGTGTTGATGGAGCTGCAGGTTGTTGACCGATTGGCTGATTACAGAAACCAAAGCAAGAGTGCATTGTCGGCTTCCCTGGTTAACCTCAAGCCAACGCTGGCCAAATCAGCCGCAATTGCTTCTGCGTTACCGGACAAACGTATGTGATTGGTGGAATATGTCGACTTCAACACAGCGCTTGGGTTTTGCAACCATGTATCCTATGGGCTGCAGATATCAATAGCGAGAGAATTCATAGTACGTACCATATGAGCATGTTGCCCGATCTGCTAATTTACCGATCGAAAGGAGGACCGGGGTTGAAGCATATTCTCAGACTGAAAGTCGTGCGCAGCGGCGAAACCGGTATTTGCATTAAATCGAGAGTATCAGGGATTAACCAAACAAGAATGTTTGGCTTGATACAGCTTGATGAAAGGCAAAGCAGACAGGAACTGGAGTGTGCAACGAAGTATCAGTGTAATCTACGGTTCAAATGCCACAGTTCTACTCGGTTACCCAACCCGAAGCAGGGAGTTGACTTGGGACACATCACCCCGAGCGTTCGATTCAAGAGCCTACTCGCAACGCAGCCGGGCGAATACGGGGAATCGCGTTCATTGGGAGACAGTGACCGATCTCTCGATTAATATGTGATAACGCCCAAGCGTGCCAAGCAGCACTGGAAAAATTAGCACTGGCTGTCAATTGTTTGGGGCTATGCGTTGCTCCTTTGAAATGCGATGTTCTTCTCCAAAATTGGCAGGGACCTACTCCTGCGCTGACCCTCGGTTGTGATCAGCTAGAAGTCGTTCAGGAATTCAAGTACCTGGGCAGCTATATTAGCGCCCGTGGGATGAGGTCAGGAATCGTATAGCGAAAGATCGGAGTGCTTTTGCCAATCTCTGCCATTTGTGGCGCCGACGCGACACCGCTCTCGCCCTGAAGGGCAGTGTTTACAATGCAGCCGTCCGTTCAACTCTTCTGTACTCTTGTTAAACCTGGCCTGTTAGGTCGACAAACATAAGGAGGCTAGATTCGTTCGATCGTCGCTGCGTTCGCAGCTTAGCTCATGTCTAGTGGTAGCACCGCGTGATCAGTGAATGTGTTCAGCGTTGTGTGTTTGGTGCAGAATGAGCGAGTGATCCGCTCAGCACCAGTATATGTCCGATGGCTGGGCCAGGTGTTGTAAATTCCAACCCACCGACTACCGTGACATGCATTGTTTGCTCGCCCGGGGTCTAGATTGCAAAGAAGGAGGGGAGGCCAAGCATTGACTTGGTCAAGCTGAATGAAAACCCTCACTTCGAAGTTGGCGTCGGTTGGTGCATCCAGACTGCCGGATTGGGGTCCTAATGACAACGACCACGTTTGCTTGGACACACTTACTGATATGGCTAGGAGCCGGCCTTAATGGCAGTTGTGCTGTGAGTTTCTTTGTCCATACCTCCTTTGGATTCCCCCTCCAATCACGATCTCTTAGCAACTTAGCAATATGTTATTTCGCGTTATAGTAGTTGCTTTTTGAATTTGTTGTTGTGTTATTTTTAGTATCTTATCTCTTTTGTATTGCGGCACCTTAGCTGAGGCGTGTTTCTCTCCCTCAATTAATGTGTATTGACGATGAGCACGCCTTTTATCAAGTAGAGACCCAATCTTCCGCACACTGATGGCATTCAGCTGCTGGAATACAATGCTCGACTGGAGTGAAGCAACAGGCGGTGACTTTATTTAGTGGCGAGTCATACTCACCAGGTCACAGTGTTGTTAGACAAACTTTTGTGGTCTTTGTAGGAACGTTTGCCATACGAAAATCCACCACACCCTGGAATACTGCCGTCGAACCATTTGCTTGAAAGTGATGAGCCCTAACCACCCAACTGACTCAGAGAACAACTTGTTCTGCCCATCCAGTGTTAGCGCAGTGTTTGGAAAAGTGATCCCATCTACGTAACATACTATACACATACAACCTTTAAACGTTAACTTAACACTTAGACACTGATGAGCCAACCTATTCACTGACCGGTGACGTATTTGTATGTGGGACATGGGCTTATTTTAAAACAGTCGTGGTTTTGCGATTATATTTTGCTCAGTTATATCGCATACGACGCATGTAGTTTGAACTGTGTGGTGCTGCGCAGTTATTCGTTTGTCTCACTTTAGGTTCAAGTGTCATCTGGTCATACGGATACACTGTGTTCGTAGTCTCGACGGGATCCCTTCAGCGTGTGTATTATTAGGAGTTAACCTAGTGCCTTTGTCGACAGCAGCTTTGCGTGCTCTGCATTCTACCGACAACCCGACATTACGTGGCTTCCGCATACTATCCAAACTTTATGAGGTTACATTGGGCTTGCCGACACATCGTAGTGTTCTCAGCAATTTGACTGTTAGAGGTGATGCAGCCCCATGGCTTCCGATCCCTGATCCATGATGGTTAGCATTATTTGATGTCGGTCCATCTTTTTGTACTGAATTCCATTTTAAAGGTCGGCGTGTATACCGAAGCATGCAGCATTCTGCTTTATTGTTTTATTGCTCCAGTTCAAACAGGGGGCTGTAGCATCAGTCAGTTATCAAGTAGAACTGCCCCTGCATGATAGCACCATGAGCATTTCGATCACAAATTTGAAGGGGTGAGGGAAAATGCGACATGCTTAATGCACAGTGCCTGTCGCGCGTGGAACTTGTTTTGCTTACCCTCCTTTGACTACATTTGTCACATCCGCTCGGAATATCGAACTATGCTCATTGTTCTTGGATATTTTGTACGTTTTTCGCACCTCACTCTCATTTATCGGTACCTTGAACCAGGTCATACTGTTGCTTAAGAACCCCGTGTAACATAGCATGGTGGATATGTCGTCCACACTCTCTTTTATTCTGGTCCTTTCATCCACTGTCTTCTCAACCCCATGTCTCCACGGTTTATTAACTACGATTGTGCTTGATCCTTACTTTTTGTCCACCTTGAGCTACTGTCTAATTTGCCTTTCCAATACACTGTAGTGTTTGGCCGCTGGCAATATTTCTCTTGGGTTAGCACTTCCGATCCATTTCGAAATCGCTGCTTACCAGCACTACCTCCGAACACCGTTTAATGCAACTTGCATCACCTTTTAATGCTGCATAGTTTATGTTTACTTCCAACAGGAGCGAACGTGAGGCTGCTGCGCGAATCCGGGAGGAACAGGATTTGGCTTATCAGCAGTCTCTCGCACAAGACCGTGCCAAACTTGCGGCTAAAGAAGCGGAACTGCGAACTGCAGCCGAGGAAGCGAGCCAACTAGCTGAGGCAAGGAGGCATGAAGAAGCCCTTAGGATGGCTGTATCAGCTCGACGGCTTCGTTGGCGATCACGCCTACCCCCGGCCCCAGAAGCCGGTAGTCCTAACACCGTTCAGCTATCGATAAAAATGCCAAACGGAAATCGGGTCTCGAGAGTGTTCTCAATCACTGACTCCGTTAAGGTATGTCCTGTCTGAACTGAGAGAATCAAAACATTTTCCAACCATTCAACGGCATTTTATCCACTGAAGCACCAAAGTGCTTTCGCGTCGAATTCGCTATTGTTATTCACTTCGATCATTCGACGTTGACGTTGCACATGTTTTTGATGTTTGCGGTCTTCACTTATTTGCTTTGCTGTTGTTAGCGGTTAGTGTGGCACTTTGCTCCATAGACTATTTTTCGTTAGCGCCTTCATCTATCCTCTTCCACTTGTCACTGTTACATACTCGTAGTTATCCCGTGAAACAATATCGTGAATCTAATTCGTATCACAGTCCACAACACTCATGAACAATTATTTATCATTAATCTGGTCTCCGCCTCCGTAAACGCGTGGCAAACCTGTACCTAGCTCACAACCCACGCAATCACTACTTAGCTCAGTGATACGCCGGCTTTATTACGCCCTTTGCGTGTAATGAACCTGAGAACTCAGCATTTTGTGGTTGCCTGCTACCTACTTTTCTTAGCTACTTTTGGTGAACCTCTGGAACCAGCAAAATTCAGGACTTCGATTGATAACGGGCCTCGAGACACGGTCCAAAACAACTGCCTACATTTTTGTGCTTTAGGGGTATTATCCAGTTAACCAAAACTCAGTTCTCTATTCGCCCATCCGCACATACACTGAATAGATAAAAAGGATGGTGGGATTTAACTTTGATGGCTTTGAGTCAGACTTTCGTCAGTGCTTCCAATCTCTCGTTCGGTGTCACTGATGTCACTCAATCGACCAGAGCTGCGGACAATCGCATTTTTGTACCCCGATATCAGATTTATCGCCATTCCGATGGCATTGACAAGTCGGTTATGGTCACACCGAGAACGTACTCCGCGTGCCGTTCCGTGCGACGTTGATTGCATCCTACTTGAAACTTCATCTTGCACAACAGCCTGCATTCTAGCGACACTACGCATATGCATCACAGCAAGCAGTCATGAATAGACACCCGCACTTATGCATGTGGAACACGTCGTTTGTAAGCATCCGTGGTGTCTAACTTGCATTCCATCCGCTCCGAGTTCGAGTCCTCGTCCCCGTCTCAGCCACCGTACAGCCATCCACGGTGGAATATCAGCGAAGCATATGTGTTGGTGTGATGCTGGTGCATTTTACCAACTTCGCTGAAGCGAGAGTATCGTTTTTTGAGCTGCGTACAAGACAAAATTGGCTAAAAATGCCGACTTTTCCATGTCCACAAAATAGAGAATGATATGTATTCCCAGCTAACCCTACCTCGCCCTTATGTGTTGTCGCTGTCTTCAATGATATCTTTTTGCGCTTTACGTCAATTCGCAGTTTTCCCAGGTTGTCCACCAGTAAGTAACAGGATATCTGTAAAAGATTCGCTCGTTCCCACGATAATCGATGTTATCCATGTTTTTCTTCGTCTGCAGCTACCACGTGATAGTATGATAAGCCCAAGTCATAACTCAGCTCGTATGTTAGCGCCCTGCAGAGCAATTTGCATGATTCACTAGAACCAAGCTAATACAGTGTTGTTAAAAAACTTCGCCTTATCGAAGCTTGAATTCGATCCTGCCTAGAAGCGGTTACCTTATTTTCAGCATCTCAACACTAGGCTAGGCGCCGTTATATGTAAACGAACAAGCATGTTCACTCTTCATAGTTGCATAAAACATATTCTTGACTTGAATCGCCACTTCGGTGTCTGAAGCTAACGACCTTGTAATCTGGTGGGCAAGGCGACCCTTGCGATATCCTTAGCCCATGTGCGACCGATGGTGGTTGCGCGGCGGCGAAGCGTCGGTATTGCGGATCGGCCTACTGCTGATGCCTTTCTTTTCCTTTTTGGCTTGAATTTATTAGCAGGAAACGGAGGCAAAATACAATCAGAAGTTCTTAGGTTTAGACTTTCTTGCTACGGCGCCACTTCGATCACTTGCTTAGTCACGTGTTCTCTGTGCGACCACTGCGAGCGCAATAGGGTTTCATTTGGGCGAGTCGTAATATTTTCTGTCAGTAATGGATGCGGCGTTTTATCATGTTGGAGCAGATTCCCTCACGATCTAAATCATGCGCAGTTCTTCTGAGCTGTGTTTCTACTAGTTACACTGCTCTTGTTTGTCCCACATTGGAAGGGTCTCCGTGGATACGTTTGGGTAAGTACCTTGCATAAAGCCCACATACATTCTAAACGAATAACTGAATTACTACACACTACCGGTAACTAGCGTACTATTCCATGACACATACTTGTGGGAATATGACCACCAATAATGCTGTTTCACTTTCCATCACGCCTTCAATCCACTTGTTCGTGACTGCACGAATATAATATGGAAACTCTGATGATAGGACACGCAAATGAGCACTCACTCTTTACCCATCTCCCGTAACGAGAATTGCGCTCAGCGTTGTTCGATCTGTGACGCATACTTGTCCGACCCATTGAATAGTGCCCGATGCTTCTATTGGGCGTCTTGGGGGCTATTTCCATGACATCGATCAATGGAAAGTTGTCATAATGCACTCTGGTTGTTTCCGATTTTAGTCGGAACGGAGGAACGTTCTTCACAAATAGTACCCCAGGCGTACAGAGTAGCCAATTGAATTCGTAACTTAGCGGGCTAACGAGACCTAGTCGTCAGAGGTACACGCGAGCTGAGGCTAGGGACGAATCACAAGTAACCTAACACAACTGCGCTGGATCCTAAACGAAAAAGAACATTGGTTGTTAGTAAGAGTTTTTTTTTACTGACTCAACCAAAGCGAAGTATGCCTTCTACACATTCCTTTATTTCTTTCAATAAAATAGCATAACGTATAGGGAAATGTGGTGTTGGCAACGTACATGAATTGTCACCCAGTGATAGTGTTCCGAGGGAATCTCAGTTCGTGTCATTGTGGGTTTGTGCGATAACTACCTTTTCAACTGAGGTGCTCAGTTGGTTTGCTGTGGCTTGACACGATAGATACAATGGTGTCAAAAGGAAAGTTAATTGGGTTCACCGCAGCGCACACAGTAGGTGTATCAGTGTCCTGAACAGAGCTCAGTTGTTTCTTTGTGGATTGGCATCTGTGTCCCAGGACGGCCCGGTTGTTACTAGCACCGCCTGGGTTGCCATATAGTGTCTGGGTGAGCCCGGGGGAATCTGCACAAGATTCGCGAAGCTATGCTAGCTCCGTAACACATGTGTCTGACAAACTTATTCCGTCACCTGCATATGTGAAGTTGTGGCTCAGTAGTAATCCTTTCTTTGATATAGTTCACATCATAAGCAGTTCCATGCTTCGTACTGCTTCACGATCAGTTTCTAGCTGAAAAGCCGAGTGTTTTTGAAGTTTTGAAACTGCTGTGTCTCCAAGATCCAAAAGTGAACCGAATTATTCGCTCAAATTTGTGTGCCTTAACTATTGTCCAACCCGCATGCGGCTACGACAATTAGCTGAACGGTATCAAATCATTCTGCACAGACTCTAGAGGTTTTATGAACCAGCTTCCCTTCCCTATGCAACCAGTGGATAGATGAAAGCATGGTACCCAGATCACTTCCGTTTCTGCATTTCGTCGTCTCATGTACGCCTCCCGATTTCTGTTGCTAATATTCGAGTAATCAGAATGGTTGGCGGCATCAGGTTTCTGATTTGCCTATCACTGTAGCCAGCCACAGCATGCCTGCGCCTACAGAGGGATCATGGGTAGCTTGCGCTGCACCACCCACAGCTCCAACCACATACCCCATATCCAGTGTAAACCCGAAGGAATATGACCGGGAGACATCTGGATGGGGACCACGTTTTATCAGCGGAGCCGGCCTACACTCCTTCACAGACAAACAAGCACGCTGTATTTGGGAATCAAGTGCACACAAGGCGGTGGCTGGACCGTAGTCCGCTCCACACTGAGTGCATGGAACCACTCTTCTAGCCTAGCACGACCTCAAGGACCGTGCACCCCGTCCCCTCAAGCAACGACCAACTGTCTCCTGGATCCAGTATGGACGAGGTAGTGGGTAATCGACAGGCAGATACCTTGTCAAAATGCATATCAAGCGCAGCCGCACCGGGGATGTCAAACAGCAGCCAATCACTTGAAATAACAGTAACAAATAAAATATATCTGTCAAAGAATACGGCTATGCAGACATAACTCTTCCCTAAATTAGCATATAAAGTATGTTGGTTAGCAGCGAATTCGCGATAAGTAAAAAATGTCCAGAAGTGACTCAGAAAATGCTACAAACGCAATAAAGTTAACGAAGATAAGCACAGTTACCTTAAGTAACTTGGAAATTTAATAGAAGATTATTCCGGTAGGCAGAACAAATCAACTGAAGTGGAATGAAATTTATCCAGCTTAAAATGAGACTTAGTTTAAGTGTAAGTTGGTTTAGCCCAACTGCGGTGAAGAAGCATCATGAATGCAACATCAGCCTCAGCATGCGGCACATCTCATGCATATATGGCTGGCGGCATCCGGTTTCGGATTTTCTTGTCACTGTGGCCAGCCACAGGACGCCTGCGCCTACAGGGGGATCATGGGTGGCTTGCGCTGCACCACCCACAGCTCCAACCGCATACCTCATATCCAGTGTGAACCCGAAGGAATAAGACCGGGAGGCATGTGGATGGGAGCCACGTTTCATCAACGGAGCTGGCCCACACTCCTTCACAGGCAAACACAAGTAATTAGAATACCTACCTAACAAAGCACAATTGGCAATACCTTGCGGATTAGAGAAGGGACTGAATGTAAAATCGGCTACTGGCAGAATCAGATGCAATAAGTGTATGATTCTCGACGGGCAAACGGACGTTGGGAATAGTTACATTTCAGGAGCACATTCAGGGAGTTTAAATTATTCTCCTGGACATGGACTTACTGGAGCGCATCGACAAAACTAGATGTAAGATCACATGAAGGAGCTTAAGCCTGATACTCATTAACATGATTCAGTTACAGAAACACGCATGATGCCCAGGAACTGGTGCAAC